GAGGCAGCATTTGCCTCTTTGAGCTTCTTTTTATTACTCAAGGATCTTTCTATTTACACAAAACACCAAGACACAGCTGTCAATGCACCCCTCAAGCAGCATTGTGTCCAAGGATTTTTCTCAATGGGAATTTCAAGAAGCCTTGAACCACAACAAACAACCTCAAAATGAATCACAATATTACAAGATTCCATTTGTAGCTTCAAAAAGACTTGTACTATTATGATTCTGAAGGACATAATAACAATATATCTACTGTTGTCACAAAAGCAAAATATCAGTAGTCGATACCAATATGAGTGAAATTTCATGATTCTCATTACCACTTTCTGATTAAACTAGCATTACTTTTTAAGTACACATTCTCAAGTGATTCAAGATGAGCAAAGTCTACAATATAATAGATCAAAGTACAAACAACAGAAAAAAGTACATTTGATTGATATTAATGGCATAACAGAGTGCCAATTCTACAGGCTACATGTATGAAAAGACATAAGGAAATTTTGACGCATCCAAAAATAAAAACAAGCATAGTACCTACTACCGGTAGTGTAGAGGGACTGATAATATTACATTTTATTTTAGTACGTACCAAAGTACCAGTACTTTTGACATCCCTACAAGAAATATTTAAATATAAGTAATTATATTATAAAAGTTGTTTAAGAGTGTAGAGAGACTGATTTGATTTCATCATTTGCAAATGCATTTTGCTTTATGCTCCCATAAACCACAGGGTCGTCACTGATGAGCTCTTTTTCCTGGAACTTCCATTTCCATGGTAAGAACGACTTCACTGATTGGTGGATTTCTCTTCAGAGTTTATGGGAATTGTAATTATTAATCTGGGATTAAACAATTAAATTGAATGTTTTACAGTATATTGATTTTCACCCAAAAAAAAAAATTATATCAATTATGTCTTATATCAATGCTTAACAACATATGGTAAGTTTTTTGTGTGTGTGTGTGTGTGATTTAAAAACACTGGCTTTTGACTCTT